CACACTGCACGCGAAGCAGCGCGGAGCGGTGGTGCGCTGCCTTTGCGAGCAGTGTGTCATGTCACTTTCTTCTCGGCACCTCAGCTTGCGAGAGCTCGCAGAGCTGAGCGTGCCGACATGAACAATTTCAACTTCAGCCAATCGGCTCGCGCGTATAAACCGGCGAGACGGGATGCGACGTCTGGCCAGTTGTTACAGACGAGCCGATTGGCTGAAGGTGCAGTCAATCATCTGACTGCACTCAGCTCACACACTGCACGCGAAGCTCCGTGCCGGAGAGCTTTGCTTCGCTCTGCACGGCTTCGCGTGCAGTGTGTCACGGCCTTTACTTCCTCATGACCTGTGCACTCTCTGCATTACTTCCTCCTGACCTCTGCATTCTGTGCATTACTTCCACCTGACCTCTGCAATCTGCGCATTACCACTGACCTCGGCACTCTGTGCTTTACTTCCTCCTGACCGCTGCACTCTGTGCGTTATTTCCTCCTGACCTCTGCACTCTGTGCGTTACGTGCTTCTGACTCCTGAACTCTGTGCGTTACTTCCTCACGACCTGTGCACTCTGTGCATTACTTCCTCATGACCTGTGCACTCTGTGCATTACTTCCTCATGACCTGTGCACTCTGTGTGTTACTTCCTCCTGACCTCTGCAATCTGCTCATTACCACTTCCTCCTGACCTCTGCATTCTCTGTGTGTATTACTACTGACCTCTGCACTTTGCATTACTATTCAGCTTTGCATGATTTACTACTGAGCAGCTGGCTACACTAAATACAATGCCACCAAGGTCTCTTCCTTCTCATTCAAAATAGGAATGATCTGATATGAATCAATATGAAGAACCGACAACCATAATTTTTCACTTGTACATTACGGAAATGGACGCATCATGCTTGTGATATTCACCATGAAGATGTAAAGACCACAAATTTATATTCTGCCACATTTTCCATGCTCACCTGCCCTTGTGATTTATTATTATTATTACATAGTATTTATATAGCGCCAACAGTTTGCGCAGCGCTTTACAATATAAGGAAGACATTACAATCACAATACAATTCAAGACAAGATGGTAAGGAGGGCCCTGACCCTCGGTGCTTACAATCTAAAAAGGGAGGGGGAAGTGATACATGAGGAGGGAGCTGTGTGGGGTTGAATTGTTTGAGAACGTGACGGTTCAGTGGTTAGGTTGAGGTGGGATAGGCTTCACTGAAGAGATGAGCCTTTAGGGAACGCCTAAAGGCAGTCAAGGTGGGAGACAGACGGACAGGTTGGGGTAAAGAGTACCAGAGGATGGGAGCGACTCTAGAGAAGTCCTGGAGGCGAGTATGGGAGGAGTTGACGAGGAAGCTGGAAAGCAGGAGGTCTTGGGAAGAGCGAAGGGGATGGTTTGGGTGATACTTTGAGACAAGGTTTGAGATATATCCAGGGGCAGAGTTGTGGATGGCTTTATAAGTGAATGTTAATATTTTGAATTTTATCCTTTGGGCGAGTGGAAGCCAGTGCAGGGATTGACAAGTTGTTTTTTTTCCCCTGTGTTTCATTGTGCAGATTTTCCTTAATTTCCTGTTTAGGGACACAAGATGAAATGAAAGGAAATCCCTCCAAAGTGAGGGAGATCTTCAGCTGTAAATGAATCACTTGTTCCCATTGAATAATCTCCCTTGTATTCCAGTTCTGGTAACTCAGAATTTTGGCTTTCTTACCACATTTCATCCTAGCAACAAGGAGAGTAAAGAGTGTCCTCAGCGAGGACGCAGCAATAAAAAGCTGACATGGGTTCTTACCCTTCCCTACGCTATCCAAAATGAAATATAATGTTGGCTTAAGGCTGCATTCATACATAAGCGTGAGTGTAGCCAGGCGATTTACAGGGATTTTTTGCACATTTGTACAAGTGTTTTTCAAGAGCATTTTTATGCACTGCTTGCAATGTAGAAGCAGAATCGAGTGTTTTTGACACCCAAAGACTTTTAAATGGGAGCACCTGAAAAACGTACGTAAACAAGTGCCAAGGGGGCAAGTCCAAGGGGCCAAAACACTTGATCTGGCCTGAAAAGATGCTCCTTTACTTTTTGGAGCAACAGGATTTTTTTTCTTTTAACAGATCATTAATTTGTAAGTATAAATATTTATATGTTGACAGTGTAACATGTTCAGTATTCCAATGAAATATCAAAGTATTTGGGGAAGCATTTTAAAGAGCAATTGAGGCAAGAGCTTGCCAATGCCTTCTACTCTGAGTTCACTGCTTAATTACAAATAAACAAAGCCTTCTGGGTAATGATATAGCTGCATGATATTCAGATGGAAAGTCAAACACATCATTAGCTGAAAGGGAAGGAAATATAGCTGGAATGTGCTTATAAATAATGTCTACAAATCAAGTTACTTTGTGCCTAGTCCTGCTATTGAAGGATCCCAATATGTCCTTGCAGCTAAATGTTGGAGGTGTATGCTGGGGCTTGTAGTTCATTTGCAGCTAAAACCAATCAAACAGCTTAATTCTAACCTAAGATGCACCCCCTGTAACTATAAAAGGACTCACTTCTAAAACTAGAAAGAAACGTGGCACTGTTACCCATGTTCAGGCTCAGTGTGTAAAGTGTCAGACCCCCTACACTTCTAGCTCAGCTATATAGATAGACAATGATCCGTTAAATTACCTTAGGGTGGCTATAAACTGCTAATTTCATCCCTGATATGACACCCCATACACCCTCTAGGGTTACCCTACAAAGTGATTAGAAGCACGTTCTACTGTCGGAAATGGTTATATTGCTTGCAAAGATTTTTCAACTTGGTGGTGCTGCTAATAATGCAGGATCTCTTTGAGTCCCCGTTCACACCGGGGCGGTTTGGCCACGCGGATTCGGCCGCACAGATCCGCCGACATGAACGATCCCATACATTGGTATTTGCGACCGTTCAAGCGACCGCGCGGATCCACGCGATCCGAAACGCCCAAACTGCTTCCTGCACTACTTTTGCCGCGCTGATCAGTGCGGTTTCCATACAGCTTTCAATGGAACCACGCTGATCAGCGTGGCTTTGGCCGTTTTTAATTGCGTTTCAGCAGTGAAGCACAATTAAAAACGGCCAAAACCTCCCTTTTGAGATCAGCGCGGTAACCGTCCTGATCCGCAACTGCCCTGGTGTGAATGGGCTCTAAAGCTCAGCATACACGTTACAATCTGTTTGTACAACCATCTTTAGATTTACCAACAAGTATGCAGTGCAGGAGTCTACCTTATTGGATACAAATTGGTTGGATGAGTTAGGTAGGTCCTCATATTACCTAGCTTTGGTAAATCTAAATTTGACTGGACAAAGGTTATATGGTCAGATTGTAACATGTTTGGTGGGCCCATACGATGAGTTGCACATGAAACAGTAACACATCACAGTGACACTGATGACAGGCAGATGTCCCTCGATCATTGTTCCACCTAACAAAGTTTTAGGCCCCTTTGCCTTAGTTGAATCTAGGCTCCATTCACACCTATGCACCTGTTAGTTTGTGTTAGTTTGCAATGGAAGTGCATTGCAAGGCTTTGATCAAGCCCCTTAGTAGCTGAAACATATGACCCTGTTTTCCATGCCTGATGCCATGTTTTATGCCTTGAATTAAAGTCACACTAAACGCAGTCGGGGAAACACGGTATTAACAAAAATGTATCTTATTTGTGTATCACTCGGCTGTAGATCCTCAAATCATCTCTGAATTGGTGCTGACACTGTCCTTCCTTCTGGAGGGTGGCTACTTTTGTTCCCCATGTTCCCTGTGTGTGTTGTAAAGTAGTCACCGCTACAAGCTCACTCCTACGATGGACTACAATCTCATGTTTAGTTTATTAATTTAGATGAGATTGTAGTCCATCACGGGAACGAGCTTGGAGCGGTGACTACTCTAGAACACACACACGGACCATGGGGAACACAAGTAGCCACCCTCCAGAAGGAAGGACAGTGTCAGCACCAATTCAGAGATGATTTGAGGATCTACAACCGAGTGATACACAAACAAGATACATTTTGTTAATAGTTGGGGTACTTAAATGCATTTTTAAAGTTTAACTCCTGAGTTTAGTGTCACTTTAATTAAGGTGATTTTTGGAAGGGGGATCTGTACTGTACGCTGACTGTTTGCAACAAGCCATTGCATTAAAAAGGGACTCCAGGATTGTCAAGTTATTCCTTGCAGTGGGGCTCTCCTGCCCTGCAAAGGTTAAGTGTTCATTTTTGGTCTAGGGTCACAATTAAAAATATATACTTTCCTGATCCTCGATCCTGCCTGGCTGCTAGACCAATCCCCACAGTCTCTTCTCCCTTGGGCTCCGGTGGTCTAAGGATGCATGAGGTGATCACTTCTAATACAGGTCTATTAAATGTGAGGACGCCGAGGGACATTCCACCACCAGAGCAGAGATGTAGAGAGGTGAGGGGTCACTGCCGCAGGACTGAGGATCAGGTGAGTACTTAATTATTACTTTAGTTTCTCCCTTGCAGTGCACGGTAACCCCCACTACAGGGGTTAATTTTTAAAAATCCTTGAGTTCTTCTTCTTCAATTTATGTGCATTTATTATTATTTTTTTTTGCATAAAGGTGGACTATGCTTTGAACTGCCAATTGCATGTGAGCGGACCCTGTATTCTCCCAGTGCAGAGGTTACAATGACATCCTGCAGACCTGTCACTCTGTATCCCAGTAGTAGGATGCTCTGCTTGGATTTGCATATTGCTCTGTGTGTGTGTGTGCAGATGATCGCAGCATCCTTTCATCCTTATTGTGAAGACATCTGATCTTCCCCATATTCTGTACACAGAGAATTCCCCCGGCTGTATGGAGAAAGTGACATAATCCTCTAAGAGGAGAGCTACCCAGGCTGGAGAAAAGCAGCGGCCAATCAGAGCATAGCACTCAGCGACCAATCAGAGCGCGGCTTTCATGTGAAGCGTGTGAAGTAGGCGCTCAGCATCCCTCCAGTGTCAGCCATGCTCTGATTTACGGCTCTGCTGTAAAAGGCTTTTCCAGCAGCATCAGCAACAAGTCGGGTAAGTGTGCAGTTTGCTTGCTGTGATTACGGAT